ACCTTTGTGGGTCGGCTTCAGTAAAATCCCCAGCATGCAATGTACCAAAAGTTTTCCGACTTTACAAATGCGAGTTCCACATGACTTCTCAAGTCGTCAAGACACCAACTACTTCGGTAAATAACTATGCATGTTATGAAGATTTTGAGAAGTCTCAGGTTCAAATCCAATGAAAAATGAAAATCCCTTTGTGGCCACGGAGGTTCCAATGCGGTGACTCCGGGCTATCTGCAAAGCAGGTGGTCGTCCTGGGATTAGTCGGCTTGCATAGCAGGTTGTATATCCAGGTTATAAAAAAAAAAGATTTTGAGAAGTAAACTTTTTTATATATCTAGACATTTGCTACGGTTCACCATGTAAGATTGGAATACGGAAAGTTGATTTCACACATGTAGTGCTATCCTACTCTAATGTTGCATCAAACATTGGACACAATTTTTTATCTTGTCATGTCCCGTATGATTTCACACACCAAATGCACCCTTAAATGATTAAGAATTCTAAATAACTTAGGCATAGCAGTTGAAAACCAAACCAAACCAAACCAAATGAACCCGATATACATCATATAAATATAGGGTCAAGAAGTAGATGTCTCTACCCTCAAAGGGTAGAGAGGTTTCTGTAAAGACCACCGGTTTGCAAACCAAAAGTTACAAAGGAGACGGGTGAGAAAGTAGCGATAGGTACAAGGCAAACGAAACCATAAAAACTTATTCCAATATAGATACAATTTTGAGGAAAAGATACCTAATAATAAAATAGTTCCACTACAACAAAAAGAGGTTTATATGACACTTTTTTGGGACACTTTTCGGAAACCGTCCTTTAAAAAGGCTAATACGACACATTAGTTTACGTGTCCTATTTGATTTAATCATATATGACTCTTAATTTTGATGTCTTATTAACATATCTTGACGTCCTATCATGTAATCTAATACGACACTTTTGAATGTCATATTTTTTTATGGTTTAATAGGACACTTTTAAGTGTCGTATTCTTTTAAAGACTAATAGGTCATTTTAAAATGTCACAATATTTAGAAATTAATAAGACATTTTTAAGTGTCATGTTAATTTTAAAAGTTAATAAGATATTTTTTATTGTTGTATTAATGTTTAAAAGCTAACAAGACACTTTTAAGTGTCCTATTAAAATTTAAAATGATATAAATAACATATTATATTTAGAAATATTTTTAACTAGGCCGATATGTCAAAAGCCTGATTTAACTTAGCCCATTTTATTAACCTAACTTACCCATTTTATTAAACCTATTTCTCCTTCACGGCTTCAAACTCCCTTGGACGAACTACGATCACGCTTATCCCCTGTACCTACGAACTACGAAGCTACGATCAACATCACTGTTTGCGATCGATCGACGACGACGAACAACATCACTGTTTGCGATCGATCGACGACGACGACGAACAACATCACTGTTTGCGATCGATCGACGACGACGAACAACAGACGACAAACCTTCTGCTTATAGGTAACATTGTTATATACTTCTTCGTTTCAATTCTCTAAAATGTTTTTGACAGTGTCTCACATGTCACCCTTTCGATCTAACTTGGTTTTCATGAGATTCATCGTGCAAAAAATTATTCTAAAAGCCACATTAGGTCAATTATTTATCTTTCTACAACCTACAGTTTATTGCCATCAATATATATATGGTTGTTGGGAGTATAGCAACATTGGCCAATAGTTTATCTTTCTACAACCTACAGTTTATTGCCATCAATATAAACAAGAACCAAAGAAAGACGATAAGTTAATTATATGGCCATATTCCGTAGCAGCCTCAACAAACAGTACACCATTTAAAAATAAAATTAAAAAAAAAGAAAAAAAAGCAGAGATGGTCATGATCTCAAACCATAAACCATCTGTGAATACTTATATTTCCATCTAAAGCTCTTCTTAATGGAACCTTTGACTTTTCCTTTCACTGTATAAGCTTTATAGGTGACAACCTTTTTCTTTCTTTGCAATTCAATATCATTAAAGCTCTAATTTGATGATCCATTTATGCTGATGTCTTTCTTGAATCTTAGATTGTTGTTGTTATCCATCTGGGATTGAGAAGATGATGATGCAGAGTGTTGTGTGTGTGTGTATCCCTGTTTAAGTCATCTCTAAAACCATGCACTTTTGTTAAGACATTTGCAGATATCCACTGTTGGCGAAAACTATTAGCTGGTTTTGTGTACACTTTTCTTGACGTGCATTGCTGGATTCAAAATTTTGCTCATATTTTAGTAGGGATCCAAACATTATTATCCTGCGTGCTTTAATTCATTATAATCCAATGATGATCTTGATTTTATGTATGAGTAGCAAGAAATTGGATTTAAGCTGTAATGCACATTAGTTTTATCACCATGAAGCTCCACCATACAATTTGCTTTGTAATGTAGTGTAGATAAAGTACATACAGGCTGGTTGACAAGTCAAAGTCTTTATTCAAACARTGTGGTTGACAAGTAAAAATCTTTATTCAAATCATCACCTCCAAATAATCACCATCACCATCACCTCCAAATGAAACAGAAGCTTGTGATCTCTAATTTGCATTCTGCCCTAGCATATTATCTAATCTGCATTATGCCCTAGCATATTATCTAATCTGACATTCGACATTTAGTTGATCAAGTTCTATAACTCAAGTAGTTATGTTAGGACAGTTGAGAACGAACTCATTGCAGGTGGGGTGTTTCAAACCATCATCTTTTATTTGAAGACAAGTAGTTTATAAAACATTCCCTATGCTGGTACATGTTTGATACACTGTTAGTTTGGTCCATTAAGTTTGTACATGGTTATGTAGTGTAGGTAACTTGAACCTTACTTGATGGATAAATTGGAAATGGTAAGATAACTTGCAATTTTTGTTTCAACAGTTAAGTGCCTGTGAATGATGCAGGAAGCAAATGGTGAATTTGGTAGAAAAATAGTTCAAATAACTGACTTGTATGGATGTTACAAATAAGGATGTTTGACTTATACCATGTCAAAGTTTTCATGACAGCAACATTGATTATTTTAAAAACACTTGACTTGTTCAAATGCTTCATTGCAAAGTAAATCACCAGTGAAAACAAGGCTTAACTTTTTTGACCAGATATGGATAGTAGAGGAAAACCCATGATATTTAAGATATATGTATATACACTAACCTGTTGAGCTAAGATATGACTGCACAAATCTTCGTTGCTCCTCCAAATCTGCAATTTTTGTTTCAACAGTTAAGTGCAGTTTCCATAGATTGATTAGATAATAAATATTCTTTTGTGTGTGGGGGGTGCTTTTTCCATAAAGAAGAAATTCATTCCTACTCATATAACCTGTTGAGCTAGGTGATGTTCTGCTGTTAGGATTTACATAACAAACTGTCATGTTAGGATTTACATTACAAACAGTCATAGCTTGAAATATCAACAGTTAGGTAGAAAAGCTAAAGGGAATTAATGTACACATATTGACCTCCACTTGTAGTTGTTTCTACCCATGTATTAGTTATGTACATTGAGATTGTTTTGAGAGAAGCAATGTAGTATAGCTTGGTCAAGCTCTTTGCTGCAGATAACTTTTTCCACCACAAAATACTTGTTTAGATAATCTTTTGTAACCAATCACATAACCTAATTTTTTGCTCTTCATCTTTGAACTTTTAGTAATTATGACTCAGAAAGGGAAACACTTACCATTTTGATTTCTTTTTGACAGAGCCATTGTTTTGGACTACCCATCTACGAAGAATCATATGAAGATCGTAGCTGCCGCTGAAGGTATGATACTTATCCAGTCATCATAATAGTGAATGCGTTCATTAGAGAATTTGGGGAAGTTTCACATAAATTTTAGTTTATTATTGGATAGTTTCCAAGTTTCTTAAATGGAAGCATTTTATCACACTTGTTGAAATGGTGGTTTAGCATATTTAAGCAGTAAGAACTGCCTGTTTGAACCGTTGCCTGGTTTTTAACTAGAGTTTCACTCTGTCTGTTTCCAGATTGCATATACAATTTTAAACCATCCTTATAATGTATGTGTTAAAACTAACTACACAACTCCAAGGATCAAGGGATTTTGCCATTTGTTTGAAAAAATTAATTGTGAAGTAGTTTGAACTTTAAATACATCAAATAGCATATCCATCCTTTGATTCTTGTTGTAATTGGTAAGGTAGACATGAGCAAAGTAGGATAAAACTGTAAACTGTAGTTAATTGATGTAAAGAGATGTTTCGGCTGTCATATGTATTAGACAGGTCACAGAAAACGTCAATGTATGTTGATGCCTCCCAGCCAATATAATAGAAATGTATAGTGTTTAGCACGTAATACTTTGCTCAAATTATTTTGGAAAAAAACCAATTCTGCTATATCATCTACTCTGCGTTATTTTTAGCAGCACCCACCACCAATTCTGCTATATCATCTACTATGTGTTTTTAACAGTCTGGTGTTATGAATAGGTGGCACAAAATGTGTTTTCTATAGTGATGGGAAGATAAACTGGAAATTGTCTATTGCTCACTGTTGCATATTCTTGTGTTTTCCATTGGCATTTTAACAAGCATAATAGTTGAGTTACCTAAAGAACTACAAGTATGATGGTTAGGAGACTAATTCGATGCTTGCTTAAACGACCCTCTTGCTTTTTATTGCGCAAATTTTACTGTGGTACCTGTCTTTTGGGTTCTGTTTTTTGATTCGTTGCTAACTTTCTGTTTTTTGATAATAGCAATAGTGCATTCCATCTAAATTTCCTATGGAGTCTGGTTAAGATGTCAATCTTATGGCTAGAAAGATAACAGGTAGCAGAAAAGCAACGTATTCAATGTGTAGTCTGGTTATGATGTCTACATCTTCGATGTAGCAGGAAAACGTCTTTGATACCAAGTCTGTTGCTGCTCTTTCTAAGTGTATGTTTTAATTCTCTTTTTCAAGTTCGTATCAATATAATGCGATTAGAATTGAAAATGGTTGAAGAGGTTTGGCGACAGTTCAACACCATTCCAGGGTTCATGGAAGGAACCACAAAACCTGATTATGCAACATGTGTCAAGATTTCAATAGATGCTTCACTAAAAGAGATGATCCCTCCTGGTGCTTTAGTTATGATCACACCTCTAGTTGCGGGAACCTTATTTGGAGTGGAATCGCTTGCTGGTGTACTTGCAGGTTTACTTGTTTCAGGTGTCCAGGTACATGTGTTGTATGCCATTTTTTTAGTAACTTCGATTATCATTTTTGCAAGGACATTAGGACCAAAGGGATCAGAAGCACATAAGGCAGCAGTGATAGGTGATACTGTGGGAGACCCATTGAAAGATACAACAGGACCATCACTCAWATGGTTTTAAATCACAAGATTTGTATATGTTTGATTTAATAAAAAAAAGGTACCATTTTGCCTTTTACTTCAACATATCATTTCCATTCAAATATATTTAATTCATTTCATGTCATGGTTTGCCCTTATATATAACAAATAAAAGTTACATAATAAGGTATGTAAGGAGTGTTGAGTTTCTAGACWCAAACAGGGACTTTTATAATTCGAATTTAGACAAATAAAGTTATTTTATAATTTGGGAGAATTACAAGCTGTCTGTACAAGCATTAGGGTGCAAGCCAGTGAATATAAAGTTGCATATAGCATTGGTCCAACATAGAATCAGGAAAAAGGTAATAGGATATCATAACAGAATTAGGTATAAAGTATAAAGTACAAACACCAAATTTTTAGGCTAGGGTGATGTTTTTAGTCTGGAAGTAGATGAAATTTCTATTTTTGCATATATATGGTTTGGCACTTAGGTAAAGGATCCAAATGTGTAAACTGAACAGTATATGTTGAAAAGACAGAGCAGTCTCTCAGTAAGGCCAGTGAACAACAAAATAAAGCATGTATGACAGGGTTCCCGTCGGTGTTTGAGGTATTATCATAGTTATGGGTTTCTTTTGCTACCATAATTATGTTCCTGTCTCTTTCTGGTATGGGCCTGCTGCTCTTTCTTTTTTCTATTCTTTCCTTAATTTACCTTTCTATGCTTAAACCACTGATGAATTCATGGTTTCTGTCCTATATTAAATCATATACTGTTGAAATGATAAAACATTATCCTTTCATAGGATGGCATAAAGTTGGGAGGATGTGGAGGTGTGAGCTGATATATGCACATTATGATCATGAGATTACTGACAGGTGTGTAATCTGGCATTTGTATGTAATGACAATATCTTTAAGTGCTATTTACTTTTGCTACTTATGCTCTGTTGCTACACTAGGGGGGATGAAGGTGAAGGCCAACAGGGATGAATCCTCTCTCTCTATGCAGCTATGCTTGCTGCACAAGATGTTTCTCAGAGATGCAAGGTTTTGTTCCCATTTTTACATATATATATATATATATATACATACATATATAATATATATCCGAAAGATTTCTATTATTATTTAGGGATTCCTGTTTCTTTGCTATGTTGGTTTGAGGTTTTTGGTTTGATTGGCATGCACAGGAGCTTGGGATTAATGCTCTTCACATAAAGTTGCGGGCTACAGGAGGTAACAAGACCAAGACTCCTGGTCCAGGAGCCCAGTCTGCTCTAAGAGCTCTTGCTTGGTCTGGCATGAAAATTGGTCGCATTGGTATTTCTTTCTTCACTTTTTTCTTTTTAAAACAAGTGTTACACTATTTTGTTGGGATACTTGTAAAATTCTTGAGAGTTGGTGACTTTCAATCACATTTTTATGCTAGTTTAATGGAGCTTGAGTCTCGTAAATTATAGCTGGAAAATTTGGATTTCTATCAAGAGATTTTTTGTATTTGCGTAATTCTTGTTCAGTACTTAATTTTGTCATGATACAACTTTGTGGTGGATACATAACTTGGTAGTTGGTACTCATATAAGTACTTGTACAACTTTGAATTTTGTTTTATCAAATCAATTCGTAAAACTTTCGTGTATGCTTCTAAATGTAATATTACTGAAGGATTTTATAATTGGATGACGCGTCTCGTATTATAGTCATTTAGGACGCTTTTAGTGTTAATTATTATAGCCTATTAGGACACTTTTTAGTATTACTTAGTTCATTTTATAGGACATTAAATTTTGTTTCATAAAAACATTTTTTGGGACATTGAATTTCKWCCTATAAAAACATTTTTTGGGACGCCCATATTTGTTTCTAAATGTAAACATTTTGTGACAACATAAAGTGTCCTATATTATAGTCTATTAGGACACTTTTTAGTGTTACTTAAACTATTTTATAGGACTATGGRWTTWGTATCATAATCCTAGAGTTTTTTAGGACACTCAAATTTATCTTATTAACCTAATACAACACCTTTAGATGAGACACACACATTTTTTGTCCTATAAACTTAAATGTCCTATTAACTACCTTATTAGGACACTAATGAGTGTCCTATAAAGCCTTTTTTGTTGTAGTGTTCTTAAATCGTTCGATGGTTTTATAACGAGTCAGAGACAAGATTCTGGATCGAGCTTCCAATCCATGCCAATCGAGTAGATTTAATTTACAATCCCACATGAGTTTATACAACATTTCTTCACCAATTCTATTTAGGCCGGAAGAAACCCCACATTCAAACTCTTGTTGAATAAATCTTGATCTTCTTCCGAACATGGGTGATGTAGGATATAGATGAATCTGAGTTATATCTAACCGTCGACCAATAGTACCACACAGGTTTTCAACTTCTCATTACCTTTGTATCCAAATCAAAGCGATATGCCCAAAGATATATCAAGACGAACAATGAAGATGGGAGATGTAGCCAATTGTGGACCTAAAAGAACCTCTGTGACAAATATCATTCATATGTTTATAGAAGGAAAAAATGCATCAAAAAAATGCAACAAAGTTTGGTTTAATTCCTACTTAGTGTACCGAATAATTTGTTTTTCTCAATATGTAACAATTTTTCAAAATTCCTATCTTGTACCCATTTGAACCGGTAAACAGTTGATCTTGTAACATTTGATGGCGCGGATACCCGTTCATGAAAGGGTTACAACGAAGTGGACGATAAGCTTGGCATTCGCATCATCAAATGTTACAAGATCAGTACAGTCAAAATGGGTAAACAAATTGAAAGTTTGTTACATTAAATAGGTAATATTGTTGTATTAATGGGCGAAAATGTTTGTTACACTGAAAAGAAATTAAGGCAAACTTGGTTGTATTTTGATGCAGTTTACCCTTTATAAAAAGATTCAAACTGCAACAACTTTCCTTCCATGGTAACATCCACACACGCATATGCCCTTAAGCTTTAAGTTTTGACCGATTTTCTTGCCAAAGATTCAATGGATAGTTAATAGTAATATCTAATGTGTGGACCTGATCCGATCTAATCATACGATTGGATTCGATTCGATCAGATGTCCAATCCAAGGGCGGACCCAAAAAAAATTCAAAAAATGGCACTATTTGACTATAAGAAACAAATATCGAGATACTTTTCACAACACCATAATTGGTTAGTTGATTGTTTTTCATATGGGAGGTCTTGTGTTCAAGTTTTTTATTGCAATTTTTTTCAGAAAAATAATAAATTTGAAATTAAAAGCTAAAAACTAAGAAAATGACACTAACTAGATTCAAATTCAGGTGGAAGATAAGCCTTGCAAACCAACCCTGCCAAGGAAGATTTGTGTTTTTATTGTAGTTTCAAAATATATACGGTAACACAACAAATTGATACGGTTACATCTTTTACGAACCTAAATTTTATCACCTTTCAACGAAGGAATAATATGGTGGCGCGTGGGTCCATCCCTGGTCCAATGTCAATTGAATTGAATCGGATGACAAAATCAACATTTAATGGATGATAAGATCGGATCCACCAAAATTCATGATTTCATTTGAATAACATCCATGGTTGCAAATGAAGCTATGTTGGGTAAATTACTGGATGCCCAACCCTTTGAAAATCATTGTTAACAAGTTTAGCAACAGGCGGTGGCAGATTCAATTCAGTATTTTTTGTGACTGGGGACGAAATTTAATTAACATAATAAAAAATATACTAGTGTCACACCCCGCTAAAGCGGAAACACGAGATGTAACAGGCAAACGAGTCATAGCAACAGTTTATAAATAACACCATACCAAGTTGTTTCAAAAAACAAAGTAGTTCATCGACATAACTAAAATTAGAATTTTACACAACGTTYTCAAAACACTTCAAAATCTTGACTTAATCGATCCATGCTCAAGTATGCTCCCAAAATCCAAATAACTTTACTTAGAACCTGAAAA